TTTCTGGAAACTGCGAGTTACCATGGATGGTGTGGGTCGACATGATAAACTCAGACAGCCTTTCACCCTGCTCATTCCACTCCGTTCCGTGAGTTCCGATGTGAAGTTCTTCAGCCGTTCTTCTTGGTCCGATCTTAGCGTTGAAATCACCGACGATGACCTTGAAGAAGGTATGATCTTCCTTGTAGCAACTTCTCCAGTCCATACAGAAACGCCTTCGAAGCTTCATCCTCGTCTTAGCATTTATTGTTGGGTGCATTAGGCGACAAAAGATTGTCAGAACCGGAGTTGCCAACCACATCTCAATTCACAAAACGTCCGATTCGGGTCGTCAGATTTTCGTACGAATCGATGTTCATGGCCAAGTGCGTGTTAACGAGGACGCCACACCGCCAACGCCTCTGCTGTCGCATGTTCCGAGGAACAGTTCTTCTCCAGTCTCGTATACGGCGTGTAGCGGGCGATGCCTCCTCGTCTCGGTCAGTCCGATGACGTCGTACTTGATCTTCCTGGCTTGCAACATCAGATCTTCGATGTGAGCTTCCGATGCAAGCGTCCGTGCGTTGAAAGTACAGATCGTCATCCTAGTCCCTCTCTGACTCAAATCTCCGTTGGCCCTAGTGCATTTCTTCCAAGCCTCGCCCGGGGTCCCACGCCGACCTCTGTCTGGTGGTCCTTTTTCAGGTTTTAGGCGGATGTGCACGGCCCATAATTATTACTGTCTTCGGGCCGGCGGGGGGGGGCGCGGGGCGGGGGGCGCCCGGGGCGAGAAGAAAGTTAACCACGCGTAGCTCGCTAGGCTCTGACGTGGCACCTTCCGCATTGGTACGGTGTTGGAACCGTCCAAACCGTTTACCCTCACACGTACGTTGAGGCTGCGGGGATAGGATTTTTGTGGGGGATTCAACTGTTACTATCCCGAAAACTCAACAAAATTTCATTGGCGGGACTTTGCCAATGAGGGTAATTCGATGTCCTGACAGGGTACATCATCGTGATGTGTGAAATGGTGGTGTCAGTACGACCTCCCCCTCAAAAGGATGGTCTCGGTATGACCCCCAGCTAGAAGACGCATTCGGTACGACCCTCCGCTTACGTGTTTCACAAAAGAATGCTGTTCCTTGGGTCCTGATCACAAATATGACATTCGTTTCCCACGCTGGCGCCAATTGGCACCAATGGGGCCCACAGTTTGGCACCATCATTTCTTCATAAATTTTTGGTGCAAACTTGCATACTGGGTTATTCAGTACCCTGATCACGAACATGACATACATTTTAAACCGTGGCTCCATTTCTCGCCATTAGGTACCGATTTGGCACCACGCCCTCCTTCATCAAAATCGATGAAAAAAGTAGGTTTGTGTGGTGCCCTGATCAGGAATACGACTTCAGCGCCATTTAGCGCTCTTCCAAGGCTGATCTGGGAGAGGGGGTGATTCCCCTCAGGCTCAGCCCGTAGCCTTGCGCATGTGATCGTAATGTTCTCCGTCAGCGCCAGCGCCCCAAAAATGAATGTCATATTTGTAAACAGGATGTCAGATAATCTCCGTATACAAGTCTTCAGCGGATTCAGTGACCCAGGGTATTTCGCCGCGGGCTAGGCAATTTCGGGCCAACCGGATGTGATATTTTGCATCGCTTCGGAGGTTCAAACTGGACCGCGCACTGAGTTTTCAGCCAAACCTGCCCAGCTTTAGAAAAAATTCGCCGTCAAATCTGGGCTTGTCTTCCAAATAAAAGTAGTCTTGTTCGGGTATAGTTTAACAGTTTTGAATAGTGCCCAAATATGTATGTGTGTGGATGAGAGATTTTGTTGATAGAATTAATTTTAGAAAGAGGCTCGTGGTTTGTGCTTACGCCTGAGCAGTTCGCCAAACAAGCTGTCAATACTATAGGGCTATGTAAGAGAACCAGTGGATGTTTTAACCATGAGATGCAGGTATCTTGTTTATAGAGATTACATATCAGCATTCTGTCAACAGTGTTTTTGAAGGCCTTTGCAAGGCCCAACGCTGATGCTGTGCTGCCATCCTTACATTCTATAAACCACTAACTTCTGTGTGTCGGTTTGTCGGTATGTATGTATGTATGTATGTATGTATGTATGTATGTATGTCTGTCCGTCCGCAAAATGCTTCACGGGTTCAAACACGTCAGTGTAGGAGAGTGTACGACCGCTAGCCGGTGGCGAAACCAGTTGGTGCAGATGTATCAATCCAATGTTTTGATTGTGATAACACCCTGCACTATATAAGAGAACCATGTAGTGCACTCCAAACCATTGCACGAGCTGCTCGCGTGGCAGGTGGACGTGAGCACGTGCAGCGCCGGCGAAAAGCGGATGCGGAGTGGGTGGGGCAAATGGGTAGCTGGTGAGCCGGTATACATGTTGGAGCCGGTGGGGTATTAGTGAGGAAAGTACTTGGAGGCGGAAGCGTTTATATAGTGCGTTTAGTATAAACTCATCACCAGTGTGGTAATAAAAGCGCCAATGAAAGCGATAAGATGAATAGAGGAAGGATCAACCGCTAGCAGAGTCGCGAATAAAATCCATGTTTTGGTATCACTTTGGGGCAAGGTGTGATTGTTTACAACCTCACAGCGTATGGCTAAAAGATTTGTGCACTATTAAGTGAGTTACTCGCGAACATCATTGATGAAAAAGACTGCTTGACTATCTGTGTAAAAAGAAAAGCCGCCGTGAGGGGATAGATAAGCGCCGGCGGAGGCGCGCGGCCCGACACCAGCAGCATGCATTCTTTATCTCAGAAGAAGACGTGCAGGCATCAGCCGGCAAAGCCGGCTGGTTTGTTTATAAGCTGCACAGAAGTGGGAAAGGAAACCGTAAACTCGTAGTTTTCCTTTCTTAACAAGGAGATTTCCCGCTGCACTCAGGACTTCTGGCTATAATCATAGATGCAGGTTAAATAACGAATAACGCGAAAAATGGAGCAGGACAGGCAGTAAGAAACATCCTCAAATGGGGCCCAGTTTTTCAGCATTTGGGAAGTATACGAGAGGTAGAGATGCGCAGAGACACTCAGCCAGGTGAGAGAGAGATCACGCATGTTTGAGAGAGAGCCACACGGTAGCTTCAAGAACGCGAGATCACAACGCCGCGCAGTAAGGCATTTGGACCTGTTATAGGCAGGCCCTATAGCTATCGCAAGCTCCTATGAGTCCTGTCACACCTTGTCACTAGCTTTTTCAATTGGCCAAGGAGCAAGCACCTTCGTGTCAAACTCGTGTCAATTGCTGACCTTGCAACCGAAAAGATTCATTTTTCAGCTAAGAAGTGTATCCAAGGCCTGGTGGTGAAGTGTGACAGTTACTTAGGCTCAGAAACTCTCTCAAGGATTCTGAAAAGGGGGAAACCACGTATGAACAGTATTGAGCTTGTGAAAAGACAACCACCCTTTCAACGCTCCTTCCATATCTCAGCAGTGTATTTTGTTGTCACCATCAGCAATGATAGTCAACCCGTTTTCGCTGCAGACTGTGGGGCGTGTCAGAGGGCTGGGTTGAGCGCAGCACCTGCCGTCACCAGTTTTTCAAAAGGGGCGAGCGACAACAATTGGTGGAAAAGGGGTTGGTGTTGCTCCCTTGACACGCCCAGCACATGAAACTTTTTGGAAGTTAATCAAATTTGAGATATCTGCCTGAAGTGTTAGAAATTTGTTTCAGACTCTCATACAGCATATGTTCCCATGGGCGATTCTCAAGTACTTGCTCGTTCCTATCTCCTTATATCAACGTCGGCGAGTGGAAAGAATTCTTGCCAAAGCTAAGCAGGCCAACTGATCTCGCTCATCGACTCAGTCCTGAAGTTTTATTCGTGACCTGTTGTTGCTTGATGTGACATAGTGACAAGACACCAGCTCCATTTCCGTACTATTGGCGCTTGATCGTTCATCGTCCAGCCTTACCGACCACTGTGTTTGCCTAACGATAGGTTGTTCAATGAGCTACAGTCTCAACTTATTGTAGTGTTGAAATGTGAACTCTGTTTTTGTTGTCGCATTGGGAATAGATTATGAGGTACTCTTAATGGAAATGACTTTCCAAAATAATTCCTTCCGGCCGTCTCTAATCGTTTTTTTATATTTCGAAGAGGCGACAGCGTGCACGTGTATTAGAATGAATTTGCTATGATTGTATATAAAATAATGTAATTAATTTAATCCGTTGTCCTAAAAGTTCCCAAATAAAGGCATATAATATAACGTTGAAAGGCAAGGAGCGAAAATGCGACCGCCAAGCTAATGGTGATAAGTCGAGAAGGGATACAAATACAGGGGAGGGGGGGGGGGCAGGGATGGGGACAATTAAAA